CCTCTATCACTTCCACTTACAGGTAGCATATATCCCTTGTTCCCTCTATCCTTATATCTCTATGATTGCGATCGTTATGCGGAACGCACATTATAATCTGCGCCATATTTATGACATCCATGATGCTGATAACTCATTCCACCTATCGCTACGCTCACGTCAATAGAACGGATGATCGCAACGAGAGTGAGCGTTGCGATCGTTATGTGGAACACACCTTATATCATCATTACAGAGGCACTTTCCCCGATCATTGGACTACAGGACGTAAGGACAGCAAAGAAGCCTTTCCGGTAAGTATACGATTTACCTTAATTATTCTCACTTTTAGAGTAAAATTACACGTAGCGCATAAAGACCGTATCAGACTATAGATTGAGGATTGAGATTGAGATTGAATTTTGCCAATTAGTATAAAGTTAACTGAATTCAAGTTTAGGGAAATTTAGCGAACTTTACACTGATTGGTCAAATTTCAATCAATCTTAATCTTCAATCCATAATCTTATACGGTCATAATAGAACTATGGAATAGAGAGTGCGTCATAAAAGCAACCAATCAGTGCTTTTTTCTATCATGCAAGTTTTATGCACAAATTTCACTAAACTTGAATTTAGTTAATTTTGTACTGATTGGCCAGATTCAATCTCAATCCCCAATCCATAGCTGATACGGGCTTTAGTGCCGGTCCACAATAGGTATTTTAAGGCTTAAACTTTAAAAAACAATAAAAATAGAATGACGTGTATAGCACGTGAGCGCCCAAAGAGAACGCAACCTGAGCAACTGAGCACATGTGAGGTTATCATCATTCAATAAAAAGATTCACTCAATTGATGATGTGTAACAATCTGGTTCTTTAAAAGGATTAAGTTGACTAATATTTACATTGATATAGTTAATTTTTAAAAGGATTAGATTGAACAAATATATTGATAAAGTATGTTAAAAAGTATTCACTATCTCCGCGTAATATTTAGAGTACATTACGTGTTAATTTTTTAAATTACTTTATATACTGACTTGCATTGATCTTTGCAGAATGAAAGAGGTTGATCTTGTCGGATTCGCCGACGCGATTAGTGATAATGAAGATACTGAAATTGCCAATATAAAAAAGAAGGCTTCCAAGAAATCCGGAGGATTTCAGTCCATGGCTCTTAGTTACCCAGTGTTGAAAGGAATTGTGAAACGAGGCTATAAAATACCTACACCTATACAAAGAAAAGTATATAGTTAACAGAATATATTTTTGTGTATTACCATTTGAAGAATATTTTAATTTTTCACATTGTAACATTCTCTTAATATTATGATTCTTACAACAATGTTAGAACTATTTCAGCTTTCCAACATTGTTAGAACTATATTATATTTTTTATAACAATATGATTTTTTAATAGACAATACCGCTGGCTCTGGAGGGAAGAGATATAGTAGCAATGGCCAGAACAGGAAGTGGTAAAACAGCCTGCTTCTTAATTCCCTTGTTTGAAAAACTCAAGGCAAGGCTGGCAAAGAGTGGTGCACGTGCTTTGATATTGTCACCAACGCGCGAATTAGCATTACAGACCCTAAAGTTCATAAAAGAGTTAGGAAAATTTACTGGATTGAAAGCAGCTGTTGTACTAGGTGGTGATAACATTGATGATCAATTTAGTGCAATTCATGGAAATCCTGATATTATTGTAGCCACACCAGGCAGATTTTTGCATATTTGTGTAGAAATGGATTTGCAATTGAAAAACATTGAGTATGTTGTCTTTGACGAGGCTGATAGGTAAAGATTTCTTTCTCATATTTTATTCTAAAAACTTGAAGATAATATACATTGTTGTTAAAGGTAAGATTGTATTGCAGATTGTTTGAGATGGGCTTTGGTGTGCAGATACATGAAATTGTGAACAGATTACCACAGTCACGTCAAACATTACTGTTTTCTGCTACTTTGCCCAAAGTGTTAGTAGACTTTGCAAAAGCTGGTCTGAGCGACCCGGTTCTACTTCGTTTAGATGTTGAAAGTAAGTTGCCGGAAGGACTGGAGTTATCATTTATTACATGCCGGCCTGAAGAGAAATTAGCTGTACTCTTGTGCCTTTTGAAAAGAGTAATTAAAGCTGATTCACAGATAATTATATTCACAGAAACTATGCATCATGTGGAGTATATACATCAGGTAATAGATACATATAATCATCTTTCAAATATATCTTACAAATTGTGTTTGGAATCTTATAACTATGAATTGTTTTATACAGATATTGGATAAAGCCGGGATCAGCAATACCTTCATTTACTCGAATCTGGATCCTTCCGCACGTAAGATAAACACGGCTAAGTTTCAAACCGGCAAAGTAAAAATCCTGGTAGTGACAGACGTCGCTGCTAGAGGAATAGATATACCACATCTGGATTGTGTGATCAATTTTAACTTCCCCGCAAAATCCAAACTTTTTGTACACAGAGTCGGTACGTTTCTTCATTTAGATATAACGCGTAAGAAACATATATATATATATATATATATATATATATATATAATTTATAATTTTAATTTATAATTATAAATAAATAAATATACTGTAATAAAATGTTATTTATTCCATAGGACGATGCGCTCGAGCCGGACGTGCTGGAACGGCGTACAATATTGTGAGCGCGGATGAATATCCGTATCTTCTAGATTTGCATCTCTTCCTTGGCCGACCTTTATTGATAATATCAGCCACGAAATCCAATAAGAATATGGAGTCCGCGGTAGGAAAGATGCCGCAGACCATGATAGAAGAGGAGCTGGCCGAGCTAATAAATTGGCACGACAGTTCTACAGATCTTGTAGGTCTACTTAGAGTACTGGAAGCACATTAATTATGCAGTTAGTATAGCTTCTTTTTTTATCTCTTGAACCGTAGTAAAATAGCATTCGCGTCTTCAGACAAACATGCAGAAGGTATGCAATAATGCTTATCAACAATATGTGAGATCGCGACAAGGAGCTTCAACGGAAAGCGTCAAAAGAGTCAAGGAACTTCGTATAAATGAAGCCGGAGTTTTGCCGCAGTACTCGGACCTTTCTTCTAACGCCACGGATTTGATATCGAGAATGAAGAACTACCGGCCACAGGGAGTGAGTATGATGCTTTAAATTAGTATACTGCAATATTATATTTTACCCAACTTGATTGTTCATGTATGTTTATATCTTTTACAGACGATATTTGAAATTGGCACGAAGACATCGTCAATCGACTATCAAGTGATGAAGACAAAACGAGCATTTCACAAGGAAAATATCCTTAATTTCCACAAGAAGATCGAAGAACGTAAAGTTGGTGAAACGAACGCAGAGTCAGGTGAATATATTATAATAGTACTTAAATACGTAACATGTGACCCTGTTGATATTTTACTTTTCAATCTTCGTAGAATTGCAAAAAGTTAATCTGCCGTCCAGCAACGCGGAAGAAATTAATGCTGCCTTCGACACAGTGGTAGTACCGAAGAAACGGAGCGGTGACAATTTGTATAAGATATCAAAAAAGAAGAAACGCCAAATGAAACGGGACGAAGAATTTTACATACCTTATTCCGCACCGGATAAGCATACGGAGAATGGGTAAGAATTATTAAATTATTAATAATAATTATATTACGTATAATTATATTAAATTATATATATCCGAATGGTTCTTTCTTATGCAGTCATTATTTTGCTTCGACACTTGTTTTATTTTCTAGTTTAGCGGTCAATACGTTTAACACGGAAGCTGATAAGGCGCAGATGGATTTAACAGCAGACAACGAGCAGTCTCGACACCTTCAAACTCAACTGAAGAAATGGGATCGAAAAAAGAAAAAAATGATTACTGTCGATAAGGTATATATCCACTGTGTGTTTTCACATATAATATTTGCTTACCGCGAGAAATGAAATTGTTTGCTATAAATTCGAATTCTTGCATACATTGCTGTGCAGAATCCGAAAGCAGGAAAGATACTCACCGAGTCAGGTGTATGGATACCTGCCACATACAAAACAAATCGTTATAATATGTGGAAAGAGAAGAGCAAAATCGAAGAAGCTGAGGAAGACGATAGCGGCGAAGAGGAGTCGCCACAAATGAAAAAACGTAAGCCGATATAGTTACTTCGGTTTCAAGAATATATTTGATCTGATTGTTGACATTTTACAAGTTATCTTTTGTATGGATGTTACGCGTGACAATTTGTTCTAATTGCAATCCGTGAAAAATTATGTATGTCTTTTATGTATTTTAGTATGCACCACAGCGCACACACATTGGGCACGGCACAACCAGAAACTCAAGGACAAAATGAAAGCGAAGAGCGAGTTGAAGAGGCCGGAACAGATTTTGAAAGCGCGCAAACTGCTCGAGAGGAAACGCAAAAGAAACGGCAGAAAGAACCGTAAAGGCCATAAAGGTCAGAAAAACAGCAGAAACAAGCATTAAGACGATTTCATTGCCAAGAATGCGTTATTGTTTTAACGGCAGAAAAAATTGTTTGTAACATAATTAAAGATATAATTTATAATCTTGCTAGTTATATCACTTGATGTAACCCGTAGAGGATACTCTTCGCGATAAAGGTCTGTTTTTCCGAGATTAAAAATACCGTAACACAATTTCGAAGAGGCAACGACGTTACGTTTGAAGCGCGATGTAAATATATGCATGACACAAATACGGCACGCCGGCTAAAAATAATCCCGAACGGATCGATAATATCTCGAAAGCACAGTGACCTTATAAATAAGCGTTGTATGATTTAGAATTGGGATTTGGCCTTGCGTCATAATAGCGAATGTGTTGCACAATCGCGAAGTCTCTCAGCGGGCGGTAAGATATCGAGAGAAGACCAGCTGGGTTCGCCATCCGCGAAGCCCTGAGAAATTCCTGCGTCATGCGGGCGAGCGTACAACTCCTGCTGCGGGAATGAGAGAGAGAGAGAGAGAGAGAGAGAGAGAGAGAGAGACGCCACGCTGGTACGGTTGTAAATTTTATCGGATTAACCGGTGACGGCGGAAATTTATATCCGAGCGTCGTGAAAACCATGAGTCGCATGACGAAGCACACGATGAGCAATTAACTTCCGCGAATTTGCGAGAACAACGTTTGGCTGTTTTCCACTGCGACCGCAGCTTAGGAAAATTTTCAACGCGACGAAACACGTCTTGCGTCGACGCGATAATGGCTTTGCGGGCTGCAGAAGGCACCTCAGGAACCGCATCTGAGAGAGATCACAATGTGAATAAGTGAGATATAGATATTTAACAGGCGGTCACATCGACCATTATTAACAGTCAAGCGTTAAGTCTAGCGTTAGGTACAATTAATCAGTTTCTTTATCCGTGTCGTGACGAACCTGTCTTTTCAGTTCCACACATGTATATCTTATCGGTAATCTGGAATACGATAAAAAAATACGTCAAAATGTAAAAGTTGATAAATTAAAACCGCGTGCAAGCAGAAGTTCTAAAGAACTTGAATTACTTCGATTTCAATGTTCTTCGAAATCAGTGCACCTGACTAAATATCTCTCCACTTTCTTTCTCACTATCTCTTTTTACAGTTTACACGTGATATATTTGTTGCCGCTTAATGTCATCAAACTGTCATTAGTCTTATCAGAAAGGCGTGGTCGTGATAGCTTCGTGATCACTACCAACGGTCCTCTTTTCTCCCTCTTTCTTCTCATATCCTCCATTCTTCTCTCTCTCTCTCGCTCGCTTTTACTCCACTCGCGATCTTATAATAAACGTATCTAGCTCGTCTATTTGTCTGTTCGTCTCCCTCGTGCGTGGCGTCGAGATCGACCTTCCCTCTGCGCAAACGCTTTTAGCTCGACCGAGAAGAACATCTGCGGCTGTACAACGCAGCTTGCAGCCGACCCTCCGGCCGAAAATAGAGATCATTATGATAGAGCATCTGCAGTGCGGGTGCAGGGACGAGCGAAGAGAGAACTCTCGGCGAAGTACGAGAAGAGTCTACCAACAGGGAAGACCATGTATTTTTGGACGTGCGTGTCGCAGTATACGCGCGCTCAAATCTCCTCTTCTTTTCGCAAACGGCACGAAATGCGGTCGTCGTGTACCATAATTACGCTCTTCGAAATACACAGAAATTAGTACAAGGTCTTCGCTGCCCCTCTTGTATTTCCTCTCATTCTCGATCTTTCTCTCTCTCTCTCTCCGCTCTACGTCGTTCGATCTTGGGAAGAAGTCGCGACGATTCGTCGCGAACATGGCGATTGTAACTGCTTATCCACCTCAATTACGTCGGGTACATTATTCGCGAATTACCGACATTAGCAACAGATTACAGCGAAACTCTATTACGTGGGAGATACTTAGGGGTTTATGTAACTCGAGATTTCGTACATTCAGAAGTTCATAAAAAAGGAAAGAAACAATGTGCAATTGTTGTGATGAAAACCGCAATGTGTACAAATTATTACATCGTTCTTACAAGTCGTCAAGCCGGAACATAACACAGATATTTCTCACCGCGATCAATTCTTCGACGCGCATTTTTATTCCTATCTGAATTCCACTACTGATCGTTGTGTGTTTAGCGTTAATTCGCCAATAACAAATCAATCTAGACGCGTCGATGATAAATTGAAGGTAAATTTCCGTCGTGTCAGTCAACGTCATAACAACTTGCCGCGATAAGCGAAGCATTGATAAACTGAGTCATATCGGCGACGCGCATCTTCGCGATCGTCTCGGATTCGTTGGAGCGCGAGCCACGAAGAAAGACAAACGCGCATAGACCTAGTCACGTTACCGCGCACATTACGCGCCGTGCGAATCACGTGTCGCGCCGCCCGTTATCCACCGCTCTCGACATCGGCATGTGCGACATTAATTCATGCACGAATGCATATACACGGACGTGCTCCCATTCTTACGTCGGCGTTTCCAGCCGTCCACGATGTCGTCAACGAAAGCAATCGGAGGAAGTGGGGGGAAACAACGGCGTAACGAGGAACGGGCGAAAAAGGGATCCGCATTGGTGACACATACTTCGGCTTCTTCGTCGAATCCCACATTTCGATTCTGGAATCTGTATGCTGCAAGTATCAAGCGCAACCACTCTTTCCAAAATCGGTAAAAAGGCATCGGCGGGCTTGGGGTACTCTATATACGGCTGGCTGACCGATTGCTTTGCTTATGATGCAAGTTACTTCTATAAACATACTTAGAATTTTCCTTATTCTCTCTTTAGAATTTTCTTCCTTTGTTTCTCCTTCTTCCCAAGCTTTTTGCTCCCTTCTTTCGTTCGCCAGTGTTTCTTTCTTTTCGCTACAACAAGCAACACTACGTTATTTCACTTAAGGTACTGCACGTGACTTGCTGTTACACGCCTGGGAGGGAATGTCCTCAGTAATTCACGAGTCGCTTTCGTGACTGACGAACGTAGATTTCAATGAATTCAATATAATTCTCGAGAGAGGGAGCACGAAAGACGGGGAAACAGAAGAAGAGGGAGAACATGTCATTTCGTGTTGTTTTAACGTGTGTTACGTTATTTGTATTGTCGTTTTAGTTGGAAGAATGACGCATCGCGATAAGAATAGTCCTTTTGCGCTCCGAAATGCTGGGCGAAATGTGCGAAACCTCGGATCGAAGAACTAGACGATAAGCGACGCTTTGTTATAATTTTTTTCTAAGAAGACTTCTCTGAGCACACCTGAAAACAAACATATTTTTCGTCCTTAATTGGAAAATAAGCATCAGTGTTTTAGTTAAGATTTTTCTTCAAAATGTTTTATCATGCTTATATATTGGTTTGTGTAAGTATCCCAAAATCTAGAATAATTTCTATCACTTGACAATACATGTTCCCGCAAAATTGTCAAGTAAGAATATCATCCTGAATCCGATCTTAAACTATTATTTATGTTATTACTTTCGATAAATCGTTAACGAAAGGAAAGCGACACAGTCAAATCTACGCATTAACCTTGACAATTACATCTACGTAATATATTATTATTTCCATTTTTCAACTCAAGCGATATCAGAAACAGACACAACTTTCTAAGGCAGAAAATACATAGGGAGCAGCGACGCGTGTAAAAGCGTGTAAAAAATAACGATAATCCATCATAACAATATCAATTCGATAACAAGCTAAATTCTTAAAAATAATCCGTACAAATTGATGTAAGCCGCAAGTGCTTGCAGGACAGTTCACAGACCGCCCTTGCGTCGATCCGTCACTTCGTTGCACTTGGCGCAGGGTCAAGTCGCTTTGATATTCGCGTGATGACCGCCAGTGCAAGCACGGACGACGCTTCGAAACGTCGATATATAAACATTGAGCAATATTTTTGCCGGTAGTGCTGAAACAATAATTGTACTTGCAACGGAAAGATACTAAGTAGGTGATCAATTGAAAATAAAAAAAAACGAAAGTACTAAAGAGCAGAAATGATGAGGAAGCCCCAGCTTGGTACACATCATCTATGTCATTTCTGCGCTACAGTACTCATCGATGACGTACCAGTAAATGCGTATGCCATTTGCCGGGTGTTAAACGCGTTCTTAGCTCGTCGTTTTGACGCGCAGGTAGAAAGCGTGGAACATTCCAGGAAGTTGTCGGCGCTCGACTGGTTCGCGACGTCTCGGCCTTTAAGCCGTCCGGCGAAAATAACCTTACGTGTATCTCGTAAATATTACCACGTGCGCTGGCCATGTATTGTTTCCAACATTTGACGTCCGGTGACGTCGCGACGCTATTAGAATTCGGGGACGCACCGGCTGAAACGATGCCATGTTATGTTTTAATAGTGGCGATAGCTACAGATCGCGCATTTATTAATGCTCTCTCTAAAGAACAGAGAAAATATATCATTATTAGTCATTAAATACTACAGTAAACAGAGATGGTTACAATGAACAAGCGTGTGATTTCCGTTCCGGCGTTCTTAATAGAACAAACAAGTCAGTAGAACAATTAAGTGAAGTATATGTTAATGGATTAATTCAATGACTTGCACCGTGAAAGACGAAGTATTAATAATAATAACAATAATGAATATATAAAGTGTGCTTGCGGTAGAGAGTATAAGTAGGTAATAGGATAACTAGTAGGGTAATTGAGAACAGTGAGACGACTTACCGATATAATCTTCCACGTTATTATTATTCAATAGATATGCAGCGAACTTAATATTTTTAATGGATTGATTAAAATTTTTATTGACAATTATTATTAATCCCTTCGTCAGATAGCGGTTTCGGAAGAATAATTAGAACACACTGATCTTGATTTAACATTGATTGCCCATTTAATTCCAAATCACTATAAAAAGCGACGTCACATTACGTTTTAGTCGTAATCGGCGCGGTATTATTTGCAAAATTCTTCCTATATTTTTTATCTTAGAAATAGTCCTTTATATCGAGTAAGCAATAATAAAGTTAGACATTATTATTGCATGGATTTATAAATAGTCGTATAAATTGTATACGAAAGTAACATGAGTAAAATAATAACGCGATACGTGCATACTTATACAGATTATGATTAAGCGTGGCATCCGATAGCGATATTAAGAACAAGGTCTCGCGAATATATTGCTTTCCAAATAAGCGAACGTGCTACATCATATCGTATCGATACGAACGCAATCAGGGGCAAATGAGTCAGCGAACGAGTCATGCCACGAGCCCTTACGATCGGAATCCCATTAATTCTTGCTACGGCGGTATACATTAATTGTGCATGATATCACGTGCGATAGTGTTTACGGCGAACGTCGTCGCTGAGGCATGCATGACTGTTCCAAATCGAGTACGTCATAATACAACGACGTTGAACGCGTCATAACTCGTCGAACTGCAACTGTGTGGTGGATTTCAACTGTGGATTTCAAGTCCGTCTTGCGAAGTTCAAGTTGTGAAAACATTGAAAAAAATAATAATTTTCTACAATTCATTTTCACAACTGATGATGATTAAATTTTGTTAAAAATATCTACGTACCAAAAGAAAAAGATTATCGATTAAAAAAAAAAGTTGAGCAATTTTGCCATGACGCTTTACGCAATATATAATTTTTCATATCGTATCATTTATTTATGGGAATTGCATTCCTTCGGTACAATAGTACAAAATAATTAATCGCAAATACAAAAATTTACATGTACAAACGTTTGCATAACAGCAAATTTGAAGGTTTGAATTCGACGTTATTGCTTAAATAATTGTCCCTATTAATATCATATTATTTTTGAATGATTCTTCTTTCTCTTTTCTTCTTAGGCAAAACTGCTGAAGGAGTCGTAACTTCTTCAATTTTTGGATACTACATAGTCTTGGTCGAATTCCACGTTAAGACTCTCTACGGGAACTCTGCGGGAAATCTGCGGGTAATCGAAGGATACCTTAAAATAATTCCCGCAAATACTTACACGAGCATTTTTGCGAACTCGAAGTACGCGGGGCACGAAAATTCCCACAGTCGGTCCTGAATGCATGTGTGCGGGGGCCCAACCACCCTGTCGTCCCGCGGCGAGTCGCGAAGAAAGCAAAAGGCCGTGCTGTTCGAAAGGAAAGTAGCGTGTACGCGATAACGCATGGCTGCATTTGGAGCAGCGCGGCACCTAACGCGTCTAACTATCTGCTCTCCGCCGCTACGTTAGACAGACATGTCGGGTGCAGTTGCACTCGCACCGACCTTTCCCATTCGAGTTAGCCGTCCGTTTTCGCGCCACCAACCTGAACACGAAGTATTTTCAATGCAGATTCGCAACACATGCGCAACAGCGTGAAGTCCGCGCCACTCTCGAAAAAAGTAAAGACTCTGTTTAAACGGATCACACGGGAAAGTTGACAAAATCTCCCGTGCTAATAGTTATTAATGGTAAAATATTCTTCGAAGAATCCGAAATGTCTGACATGAAGTACGAGGAAAGCAGAGCTTTATCGAATTAAATTGATTAATTTGCATCAAAATAAAATCCGTGGTAAATAAATTAAGCAAATTGCCGTTATAATCAAGGGAATATATCCCCGGCAGTATAGTTAGTTTCGTATACGTTCTTTAAACGTATGTAATACGATTGTGAAACGTTACGTACGTTTAAAGAACATACATGAAATTAACACGCTACGTGGTATCTTCTTTGTATTTGAGAAAAAACAAACTGTCAAGATGAGAGTAAGTGGCCGAAGCCTTGCGAACTTTGTATCGATACTTCGTTTTTTATCGCGATACCGACGTAACGCATGTTTTATACGCTATACGTTTATCAGTGAATTTCAAGTGTTTCCAAATCACCTTTGCAGCTTTAAATACGCACGCGTCATATTTTTATCAGTATTATTACAACTATATTATGAACGCGAGCCTTCCTTCTCAATCGCGTCTCATTCTTCGTGATGTCAGCTTTCCGTCGTAAACACGAGTTGAAATAGAGCTCGATCCTCCGTGAGACCGCTCGAAGATCGTGCGATTTTCTTATCTCGATGCTGTCACACCGTTCAATTGATAGTGACGGCAGCTTAATCGCCAGCTATTCTACGACAACGACGACGATGAAGAGAGACGTCTCTACGCCGAACAATGCAAGCCGACAATGAGACGAAGCACTGTCAATACCAATGTCAATGAGTATTGCTTAGACCAGACGTACATTTAGTGTAAAATGTGACGGCTATTGATATAATAGCTATAGCGCGTATATTCTCGTAATGTAAATATATCGACGGCTATTGACATAATAGCCGGTCGCATAGTGCGAGGCGTAGTGCAAATGTGACGGCTATTAATGTAATAGCGCGCGCGTACCTCGGACACACGTTGTCCGTCCGTTGCACCTCTCGTTATCCCTCGTTATCCCGCGTAAGAGCGAATTAAGCACCGGCTTCTATCAAAGACCTTTTAGATGCAGCGCCTGGTCGGACCAGCCTTCCATCAGCCATCTTATCGGTGCATTTGTTACCGTAGCTCCAGTAGCTCGGAAAGATCTGTTCCCGAACAAGCGACGTTTCAGTAATAATAAGAGATCTGTCACCCGCGCGGAGGATCCTCCATGTTGATTTCCGCGCGGATTCGAACGAAGATCGCTCGTCCGTCGCGTTTTTACCTAATGACGCGCATCATGACGCACATGCACGCACTTAGTCGTGAGCATATCTCTACGTTGCGCACAAACAAATATAAGATTACATTCCGCTGACAGCGGATCTTCTTAAGGCTACGTTCCGGTATCCACTGTCAGTACTGAAAATCTATCATTCATCTTATTTTCAGTACCGAATATCGGAACGCAGTCTTCGACGGAAACCGGTGATTTATTTCTCGTGTGATTCACCTGTAGCTCGTTTCCGTCGGTATATATTTGATGAAATCGTATTAAAATATATCCGGCGAAGATCTCAGAACTCTTCTTCGCGACTTTCCAAAATTACATCATATGGATTTCTCTGTCTGAAACTCTTATGGATTTGCAAAGTCGGAGATTTCGAAGTCTGAGAGGTAACGTCACTTGGGACCAATATTATTTAGAATCAACAGCAGTAACTGATAAAGTTTAAATTAAATGTTCATATAATATATAGTCTCTAGAAAACGGAACGAGATACTTCCAATAATAAATTCGAATCATTTTGGATACATGTATAGAAATTCCTGACAATCGTTCCCGATTTGTCCCACTATACATCTTTTTCGCTTTTTCCTCGTCCATGGGACAACACTACACACGAACGGTAAGTTACGGGTGCGTTCGCGCGCCCATACATCCCTGCACGCGCCTTCACTCGAGTTCACGTTCATCGTGTTGGTAGCAGTGCGCCCAGTAGAGTCAGTGCTCAATGCGTCGTGCGTTAGACTACAACGTCGCGCCTGGCAAGCAGCCGTGTGTAGTCGTCGCCGTTGTGTTCGTCATCCTCGTCTCTTCGTAACCATCCGGTACGTTGAGGTGTTCGTGCGTGTGTGTCTAACCGCAAAGAGTCGAGCCGAGAGTGGGACGAGGAGTCCGCGGGAAAACGGCCGTTCCGCAAAATCGGCTCGCTCGCGATGCATCGCGCGCATCACGCCCGCGACGAAGCCGCCACGATCGACGCGCATTGTTGGGCGTAGCCGGTGGCGGCGATCGTCGGAGAAACGGCAAGAGCGCGCGTGTGTGACAGCCTGGGACGTCGCTGCCATTGCTGACGACCGTCGTGTCGCGCCTCGCATACTCGGTGCTGGCGTATTCGCGTCGTACACTATCTCCGTCCGTTTCTCTCTCCTGCTTCGCTCCGTGGCCGGATACGGGACAAAACTTCCGTCTCTCTCTCTCCTCCGTCCCGGCCGCAGGTAGAACGGCGGGCATCCTCGCGCGTCGTTGCCGTCCAAGAGCATCGAGCAACAATACGCGAGTGAGGCATGTCGACGCGCCGCTCGTAGCGAGATACAGGATTCGAGCACGAGGTGAGTGAGCGTGTCGAAGCGACACGACGCGTCGTGACGCGGCGCGGTGGCGTCGGCCGTTCCACGACGATTGATCCCTTCATCAAGGACGGCGGCATACACACAGGGGTGTACGGTTTCTGCATTGTGTCAACATGCTCGTGCGTCGAGCGGTGCAGGAAGCTCGCTCTCGTACACACCCATCTTGCCGCGTGAGCGGACGAAGCGAACGTGCGGGAGAACGCGTCGACGGGCTGTGTCGACGCGTCACGGCACGGCGGCCGCGGTACCAGGAGACGCTCGCGCGGTGCGGCGAGACGCGAAGGCGGTGCACGGATCGAAATCGCGAGAGATCGCGCGGATTCTGCGTGACGAGAGAAGAGCGTGCGATAATTGTTCGATTAGGCGCAAGGATTCGCGGTCTTCTCGAATTCTGTCATCGCTGTCACGCCAAAATGCTTCCCCTCCCTCTTTCTTTGTGTGCGCATCGATGACGAATTCTTGAACGACTTTGATAAGAGGATAATGGCCACATATATGTATGACCGTTACAATCGCTGTCAGCGCAGTGTCACGAAATTGTTTTGTACACTTTGGTGTGAAAGTGGAACTCGTTGATGTGGCTGCGTCGAGTTCGGTCGTAGTAGACGCGCGAATCGTCATCTCGTAATGTTGACACGTCGAAGTGAGCAAGTGCAAAGTGCGATCTCCGCAGCGTCGGAAATTTGCAGTCATCGGGATCACATGGGATTACCGGATAACCGGTTATTACCCGACGATCTGTATTAATTGACTTGACATTCGGTCGGTAATTCTCCTCAATAATTACATTCAAGCGTAGCCCCCCGAGCCAGCTTTACTCATTGACTGATGAGTTTTTATGATATCACATTTTATACACGATAAACGTCAATGTCACGTGTGCGGTGTGCTGATAACGCGAAATTCCCAAATGACGTGATTAACTAACTCATTGTCGCTCGACTTCGGACTTGGCTGGCGGCGTGTCGGAAACGTACGGTCAGTGAATGATAGCTAACTGTGATTCGCAACCGAGGACCGTTCCTCACGGACGTTCTCGTGTTGAGCTCGTGGAGAGGAGTTCCGCGGGGAATCGACGTCAGTGTCCCGAAAAGTTTCGCCGTCGGAAATGTCACGAGGGCACCGGAACAGAATTTTATTGTTATGTAAACGCGGATTCATGCAACATTAGAGGTACATTATCAGATGAATGTTGCGCTTCCAATGCCTCCTTGTGAACGAGGAAAAGCAGTCTTTTGTCCGGAAAGGCCTTCAATCGCCGAGATCTATCACAGATCCACAGATTTTGGCTCGCCTTGCCTTGTTGTTTCCCGACGCGGCTTCTGGCGCGAGTCTCTCACACCCACGCTCGCGCGTTAATCGCGCGGCTGAAAGTGGTCGAAGCCGTTCGATCGTCGCCGGTTATTAGATCATCGACGGAATTCTCTTACAACGACCCGCATTCAGGCCCGCCTCCGCGTTCTCGACGACCGTTCAAAAAGAAAAAGTATCGACACTTCCCTTCACTGACATCATCGGCAATTATTATCGTCTCACGCGGTTCCTCAAGACGAGCGGAGAGTGACGCGTTGTGTTTCAAGCGGCGGCCCGATAACTCGATCCGACCAAGATCTGTCGCAGAGTGCTCGATTTCGATACAACGCTGTTTCCGATGGAACGGCACTGACGGATTAGCGCGAGATAAGTATCGGTACTTTCTAGCCGAGCATGTGTCGCGTTTCGCGACGAAATTTCGGAAACGCACGCTCACAAGTACGAGGGCACCAAGCGGTGAAAGCCCATATGGGTTCCACGCGCGATGCGAAGTTTCGAGCCGACGGACTGCGCCGGATTTTGCAACGTTTCGATCCGTATGTGCTGATAGAAACCTCGGTTCCGCGCCGCGCGTCCGCCGTTAAATACCGCCGCGTCGTCTCGACGTGTTTGAAACTCGCACAAAAGGGCGGAGAGGAGTCACGCAATTATTTGCGACGTTAAGAGGGGCGTATTCTCGCACATATGGACACCCGCGAAACTCGTCGATGTACGATGGTGACCTCCCCGCGCGCTTTCACGGATTTCAGAATCGTTTCGTATAAAAAATTCACGCGGGAAAGTGGGCAAGGTGTTAAGAATTGAAAGTTGCGGACCGCCGCGGGGAGATCGTAGCTTTATCCCGACCGTAAAACCGGCATCTCGTTTACTCTTCCCCCCCCCCCCTCGATGTAACTTCGCGGTTTACATGTCGTTTGCATTCGACAAACACAAAAGTCCACACGTCGGCACAAAGAGACGCGGCGCAGAATGGAGAGCGGTTGATTTCCTTGTGGAAGCGCTCGTTTTCCACGTAACTTTCCATGTAACTAATGAAGTATTGCGTCGTCTTTTGTGCGTCCGACGTTTAAGCCGCCGCGTTCTCCGCGTACGCAATAGAGCGCACGGCCCGCGAGCAAATCCTAGAAAGTGTTCGAATTCATCAAAAGCCGCGCTTTCTAAATGCCTGTATCTCTCGGCATCACAACTTTTTCTACCCGTTACCGTTTCGATGCGAATTGGGTGACCTTTGGCTCTCTCTCCTTCGGCCTTCACCTTTCCGCCAATTGTTGCCCGCACCGCCCAGGTGCGTGTATGCATACGTTTGCAACGACGAGTTTCGGTTAACTTCGCGTTTAATTGCTTCTCCGCGGATACAGGCGAATAATAAATCGAGCCTTGCGCAACAAAATTTCCGTTTCATGCCTTAAAAAAGGGAGAATCAAGCGTGCCTTGAAAGTTGGTGGTTGTTATTTAAATATGGATTTAAAACGATTCGCGCGGAGAGAAACAAGTTTCCCAGTGAAATTCCGCTCGGTAACTCTTTATGGGAACGGTTCCACACAAGCGGCACAATAAAATTATACCGGTTAGTAATCCCGCTCTCGAGAGGAAATTCCAATCGCATGTTATCGAGATTCCGAAGCGATGCGATCGACCTTCCCAGACAGATGCGCGGTTTCCGGTCGGTTTCGCGGCATAAACAGTGGGATAAGCGCTGCCGTGCTTTTTCACGCGGCGCCGCCGACGCCACATTATATAACCAATCAGTTTCGCAAAGTTCCGCGAAGTCTTTCGCTGTGTATATTAATTCGTGATACGATTCACTCCCTCGTCTCCACACGCCGACACCAATTATCGCTCTTATCGCGTATTTGATTGCAATTGATAACGAAAGCGCGTGTTACTTTCGTTGACTATTGTTGACATTACGATCGGGCTCTCATAGTCGCGGTGTTTTGTGTCGAGATTTACGTGTGCGAGTGATATTATACACTGTTATCAACCTACGCTCCCAAAAATAATGAAGACACCGGAAGTAACGTATCTCGTTTCTCTTTCTCACCCCGCTGACAGTGACGCTGCATCGCGTGAACGAATTATCGGCCTTCCTCGCTTTGCCGCACACGAACGTTTAGACCGTACTTGGTATCGATTAGGAATTTTATTGTCGTCCGGCGCCCGCTATTAGACGTCTCCTTAAAACGTCCACACACGTGTATTTACGCATTGTATACAGACTCAAGTGCTTTTGTAATATTTCGCAATATTTCGCTCTCGCATTCGAGATGGTTGGGCGCGAGAAATCAGAGACGCCGCCCGCTAATCCTGTGCTCGCTTTGCAGGTGAAGCCCCAGCATGGCCAGCAGATGACTGTTAGCCGAGCCGGTGCTCGTACTGACTCTAATATGAGCGAAGTAGTGGCAGTGACGCCGACTGGTGGATCTACGCGCCAGGAAAGCGTGACACACATCAAGAGGCACAAACTGGCCAGCTGTAATGTTCCTCTCGTACACGGCCGGCCGAATCCGTCGATCAGTCCACGCAGCAGACTGACCACGCATCAACGAAACCAAAGTTTGGACTTCAGGTACGGGTATATAACGTTCAGTTCGCCGGGCTCTCTTCATCGCGCGTTGAGCCTCTTCCTGAATATTTGCGAGCCTTGCGACGAGTTATTTGCGAGCGCGATGCGCGTCTATGCGTCCTGGCACTTGTTGAATAAGCGATCTGCCTCGCGCGCGTGCATTACGCGCCACGATTGCGCGATCGACAACGAACGGGGCAAAAGATGGAAGAAGAAGCGTGGCAGTTACACATTGTTGTATCCCAATTGAGAGATATGCGTCAAGATATTTAAGTCGACTGCTCACCACGACGACGTCACCAATATTAATAACCGCGCGTAATCGTGACCTGTCGTATCTATTTTCTTCGTCGTGCGCGCACCCGCCAACTGGAAACTGGAGCCAGCCAATGTTGCGCACACGCAATCGGTCAAAGTATACGCGAGTTTGTTATCTAGAACAGAATAGAACAAAACGGTTTGAGTACTATGCATAGAAAGATTCGTGGTCTGTTCTTTTTTCTTTGGCTGAACCGGTTGCACCAGTTCAAGAAATTCACGCACACTGAAAATCTCGTACATATGCTTGAGTGTGTAAATATAAATTTCTTCAACTAGTTCAGTCAAGAAACGAACTATCGGTAGCATATATACCGATATTGGAAGTATTTGCAATAAAAAAGTCATACTTTGAAACTCGGTACAGTACTTGAACTGCTGCTCGAGAAACTTGAGTTGTGTTAAGTCTGCCGACGGTTGTTCACAGATCAATGGGCATCATACTACCGCCGGTATCCCAGACGAACGCGACGACGTCGACGCACCATCACAGGAACCGCAGCCTCGACTCCGCGCTGCAACGGATCCCGGAAGTGGATGTGACACCGAGCCCGGAATGCGAGAATCCGACGCCGGTCACTAAGACGGCCGTATCGTCGGGGCCTTCCAAGGGGCGCAGTCGGGAACGAGAAGACCTAGCTAGTCTCGGTTCCGACGACTCCGGTATCCTCTGCGGTTCCGACAGCGGTTCTAGCGACGCGACTAACGCCGCCACCCGCGAGTCTAGCGTGGACCATTTGCACAGCCGCGAGAGTCTCGACTCGTCCGTATCGCAGCCGGGCGACATGTATTCCGTGGACGCGGTGGACGGTGCGGAGAACAGTAGTGATGTGTCGGTGCCGGTATCGCCCGTGGAACTGTCCACGCGCCTCGCCGATCAGTCGTCAGTGTCTCCCAAGGACGAAACGGCCGGCGAGCATCATCCCCGGTGCGACGACGCGAACGCTGAACGTTGCTCCCAAGAGCCGCGATCGAACGTTACTCGAGAACGCAACGGTCACTGCGATTATCAGCAGCAGGAACGCGAGATCGCTGCCTATCACCATTCGAGCGCCATACAAGCGTCGCCGACGCTGGCCGACAATACCCAGAGCGAGTTGGCCGGCGCGGCTATGACTCTCTGCTGTGGCGCGACGACGCAGCAGGAAACCGAGACGGTGAAGAAACAGCAGCCGGATGTCGTCCGCCGGCAGCAGCAGGAGACGAAACAGCCGAAACCGTCGGAGGGCTGTCTACTGCGGCTCTTTGAAAGTCAGATATTCGACATGTCCATGGCTATCTCTTATTTGTTCAATTCCAAAGAACCCGGCGTGCAAAGTTATCTAGGTATGCGGACATATCTCGCGAAAAAATCATAAGTCATCTTTATCATAAGCTATCTTCATCATAACAAAGCATCGATGAACCACCAATAAGAACGCTGTTAGCTTCTCCTCGTCAATTTGACGGTAAATGTGACATTGCAGGTAACAAGATGTTTAGTTTCCCGGATAACGATGTGGACTTTTACTTACCACAATTAGTTGTGATGTATATACAACTTCACGATGTAACGGAAGTCCTTTATCCATATCTTGTCCATAGGTAATTCTGAAGATCACTTTATTCACACCGCGTGTGTATGATTATCGCGACAAAACTCGAACAGATTAAAACCGAGCATTCTCTTGCAGGTGTAGACAGTCGGCAGATTTTTCGTTAAAATGTGCTTGGCTGCTGGATGCGTACAGCTCCGATGCTCATTTGCCATCAAAGAAGAAGTCTCATGGGACCAAATTAAAAAATCTTATCCTGTCAGATGAACTCAGGTAAGAGCTAATGAGTAGAGGAGATGCTTTAGGAAATAACGTAAGGAGTCTCGATGAATGTGAGATCCCAAAACAATCGTCGTAGAGATTCAAAGCTGGATAAACTTGCGTCTGAACGTTTTTCAGGCCAAAGGGGAATGAGGGTCGAAAGCAACGTATTGTTGGATTGCAAGTTCCTGCGCCGCCACCATTGCCCTTGACGCAAAACCTTACGTCTCCGAATAAGAAAACCCACCAAAGATCTCAGTCTGACGCTACTGGATTGTTTCAGACTATACGCCGTAGTCATTCCGGTAATTACGGATGTTCAAATTAATACACTGAACCCCAGCGAAAAGTAACAATAACATTGTATCAATTTCCCCACCCAACAATGTTACGTACAGCATATGTTGCATCGTTGAGTTGGAAATTATAATATTTATGTGATGTTGGAAATTATAATATTATGTGATGTCACTGTTACTTTGCCGGCATGATTTTCACATTAACGATCGAAACGTCATGTTCCCAAAGGTACAATAAATAAAGTAAGTCTTGGGGACCTGAGCTCTGGCCGAGCGTTTGACAACGGCTGTACCTGCTTCTATTCCTGCCAAGGTGTGGTGAACGATTTGCGAGGCCAAAAGACCGACTGTTTCTGTAATGTGAGTTATTACTTTGCACGACATCCTCTTGTACTCGAAGCGGTTTATCAACGTAAAAACGTGACCCACAGGCACCCCGACTCGCGCCAGAACTTGAATTCATTCAGGCGTTAATATCAATCGGCAAATTGCTCGGTACCATTCCGACGAAGGAAAGTAAAACTGTTCAATTGGTGGCGGAGCTCAATACGCTCAACTTGAATCTCCCCGCGAGGGTGTGGCTTCCTTTGCACAGTACGATACCGCATCATATCGTGCGGGTTCCACCGCAGTACGCCGCCGTTCTCAACAGCAAGGACAAGGTATATAGATTTCGATTTGATTCCATGGAAATTTCATTTATGATAAATATCACGTTATGCCCAGGCACCCTACATAATATACGTGGAAGTGTTAGAAGTGGAAGATTTATACACATCGCCTGTGCCAACGAAAATAATGGGAAGCTCGCTGAGGCACACCAAGTCCGAAGAGAACTTGACAGGTGGTGAGCAATCCAATACAATGGCATCGTCCAACAACATATCTACTCCCGACAGTCAGCAGAACTCGACGGTGTTGTCGACGCTACGGCAGACCCCGGTGAAAAATATCTCGCCATATTCCATTAGGAACACAGACGTGGCGTTTAGTTTTCCCGACGACGACCCGAACGACTGCTGGAGTCAGGAAGACGACGAGATCACGCAGCAGGTACGTTCGAACGATAAACCCCCCGAACATTCTCGTTCAATGAACGCGCACGCTAATCTTCTATTCTTTTCGCAGTATCTGCAGCTTCGCAAGCCGAAGGACCGGGACACCATATCGCAATTGAGTCAAGACTCGTCTGACAGCAGGGAGCCGATTTTCGTACCGGGCGACATTAAGAGGCGATTGAGCGAAATGGCAGCTATGCCCAGCGCGACGTTCAATCACGATCCCGAGGACCCGTCGGCGGCGGTCCTCAAGGAGCCGTGGGAGCAGAAGCAACGACGCATCAGAGCTTCCAGTCCGTACGGGCACTTGGCGTCCTGGAGGTTGCTCGCGGTGATCGTCAAGTGCGGCGACGATCTCAGACAGGAACTTCTCGCCTCGCAATTGCTCTCGATGTTGCAAAAGATCTGGCAGGACGAACAGGTGCCGCTCTGGGTGCGACCGTACAAGTGAGTACAAGTGAAAGTCGAGCCGTAAAATCGCGTCCGAAGGCGTTCCGAAGTAAATCCTTTCTAAAGAAAGTCGTGGAATAACATCGATATGTAACGCTTCCGATTGATCCCGCAGAATACTCTGCCTGTCCAACGACAGCGGTCTGATCGAGCCGATCCTGAACACAGTGTCGCTCCATCAAGTGAAAAAGCAGTGCCAATTGACGCTTTTCCAATACTTTGAACGGGAGTTCGGTCCGTCTGCTTCGGAGACGTTCAGTGTGGCGCAGAAGAATTTCATTCAGAGTTGCGCAGCGTACTGTTTGGTCAGCTATCTCATTCAGGTGAAGGATCGCCACAACGGTAACATTCTGCTGCACAGCGACGGCCACCTCATTCACATAGACTTCGGTTTCATCCTGTCGACGTCGCCTCGTAATCTGGGTTTTGAGACCAGCCCGTTCAAACTGACGCCGGAGTTCGTCGAAGTGATGGGCGGCAATCAGTCCAAAATGTTCGAGGAATTTAAGAGTTTGATTCTTCAGGGCTTGATCGCGGCCCGCAAGCACATGGAGAAGATAGTAAACCTCGTCGAGATCATGTTGTCGGGTAAGAAGCGGCGACGATGACGACGACACCGCTCGTATGAGGCTCTTAATCGGGTATGTCTAACGGGTTCTATCGATTTTCCGCAGGCTCTCAACTTCCGTGCTTCCGCAGTGGTGGGGCAGCGACTGTTCAAGGTCTCAAGAATAGGTTCCACCTCACGCTAACGGAAGATCAATTGCGTCGGCATGTCGAAGATTTGGTCGAAGGCAGCATTCACTCGTGGTCCACTAAACTCTACGATCGATATCAATATTTCGCAAACGGCACTCTTTAATATCAAGGCTAACCCTTTCTCTCTCTGTCTGTCGTGTCTCGGCTAAGACTTTTGCACCGACTCAGTGAAAAATATCTCTGACTTGAGACTTTTGCGAAAGTCGAAAGTAAAGACATCGATTCGGCAACGTGGTGTACTTCTTCCACAGTTTTTACATAACACTTTTATAACGGGGTTGACCAATCGATAGCGCACGTGCTGGAGTTTGCGCGCGTTCGTCTCAGTCTACCGCGTGAGTAAATTTATTCCGTGCTGCTCTATAGTAAGCTACAATAATGATGCGGCGCGAGGGAATTTGCATTTGATCGGCATATGGCATAATTAATGGTGATTCCACGTTCATTTTAATTCATGTTAAAGTTGTCTTCGCAGTTCTCTCTTGTTTGCCGCTTTAAATTACCGTATTCTAAAAGAGAAAGAAAGAAAGAGAGAGAGAGAGAGAGAGAGAGAGAGAGAGAGAGAGAGAGAGAGAGAGAGAGAGACTGCTTCCCTCGATTTTTACAATATGTAAATAAAAATTAATTTTACCGATTGCGTCCAGTGATTGCGCGATAATGGAAGAACAATAATATTCTTCCTGGGCATGCGTCAGCTGATTTCGGTTGAGCAGCGCTGCTTTCTAGCATTCCACAAGCACAAATGACGTTTAAGGTGGGAATACCGCTTTCCTCTTGAATATGTAAGATAGCCTCGATTAGGCTAGGTATAGAATTCGAATAGATTATTCTTCTTTGAGTTTGACGTTATTCCTTACTTTTGTGGCGGGTGAAACGATATGAAATATTTTTAGCCAAACTCAAGACGGTCTCGTGGCGTCTGATGAACTAAACGCTATGATTAGTGAGATGGGAGATGAAGTGTTTCGAATGAAAGAACATGAATCGGTTTAAGCGGTGATGAGCCTCGTTGAAAGTTAAAAATATTTATCGTCGTTTAAGGAGTTAGGAAATGAAAGAAGGAATAATCTATGGGCCTTTTGGTACCCAGTTGATCACATATATCCACTATATATACATATATATATATAACGTTTTTTGTTCGATACATTAAGACTGCTGTTTACGTATGCCTCGATTGACAAATTACGAATTAGCTATCGCCGGTGCAGACGTAGCGTCGTCTATTGACTGAGCGTTGGACTGCTGAGTCGAGTGTAGCTTATAAACAGCGTAATTTGTTAAAGGTGCCTTATTTGTGTAGAGAACGGTGAAGATGATCAAATCTAGATACACAGTGAAGTGGCGTGCACGTGGCAATCTAAAACTGGAGCTGATTGATTGTGAAACGGACAATCTGTAATTTGTACATATAACAAATTGAATGAAAAACCGAAGCGAAAGAACGAAGAGAAAAAGTTGCGTGAACTTTCATAGATAATTCGCGGCAATAATAAATAACAAAAAAAAGTAGGACTTATCCTGCTCTACAAGCAGTAGGACAAAATCGATGAATCTCCATATTTCAAAGGAGATTCCGATGCGCGACTTTGGTGAGCGTACGAATAAGAGCTACGTACAAAACCGGCTCGGATATTAGTGGGAGGTGAATACTCAAAATATTTCCTACTTCGTAGATCATAATATACTCTTCGATAAATACATCTAATTGTACGCGGTATAAGTTAAGGACAAGCATTATACATATAACGAATCTTAAGCAGGTCGCATTTGAAAATTTTTACATGTTCTTATTACGTAATTACNCCCCCCCCCCCTCTCTCTTTCATAGTCGTGAATGCGCGGAGTATCGTATAGTTGAGTATGTACGGAAGGTAATATTATTTAATCGTAATTCTCCGCGCGTAAATTTTACGTATGTCCGTTTTTAAGTAAGTAAATTATATAATTACACTAAAGAGATTGTACATAAAATGACAAATTTTATCACATTATTATTATTATTATTATTATTATTATTATTATTATTATTATTATTATTATTATTATTATTATCATCAATTATATCGTTTAAGGATCTAATCGAGGATGAATGTTCGAAGCAAAATCAAAGTCGCGTTGACGAGCCAGCCCGGAATACGAGAGATCTGGGCCCTCTAACTTCCAAGTGTCTTATCTCTCTTTCTCTCTCCCTCTCTCTCTCTCTCTCTCTATCTCTTTCTATTCTCCTCCTATCATAACCGTCTCATGATAAACAGGCAGACCAGGAATCGGATATGATTGTGTGATGATGAGGGAATGCGAAATTATCCGTCGGTATTTCGACATATGCCGGTTGTCTCTTTCGTACTTTTTGTTTCGGTCGGCTCTCATAAAAATTGTATAATATGCGTGTGATTAGTGCGATTTTAACATTCGTTATTGTAAGAGTGATTATGAAGCGATACGCAGGGGAGGGAAGTCAACGANCCCCCCCCCCGCGGTCGATTGAACGCGCCGACTTCCTGTTCCGTCAAGATCTCTGATTTGCCTTGATCTTTCACCTCATTATGAGCTCTATTGATAATATCAATTATTGAATAAATACGAATGCGATAAAAACAAAATTTTCCTTTCAGCACCCAACCGCTGTTGCTTGTCATTGTATCAGTGATATAGGTTACATTGTATGTATTACGTGATTAACGAGAATTCTTGATGAAGTTAACATCTGCTCGGATATCAGAGATAACAACAAGTAATAAGAAGGTTGTTCTAACTCTTTTTATTACTTTTGGGTACATGAGTGAGCGTCGAATACTAATCGATGAACGAACGTACAATGCTAAGATACTGTGTTAGTCACAAGAAGAGAGAGAATTGCAAATCGGAGCTTGCATATATATAAGGGACATTGGGGGATGAAGGAAGAGAGAGAGAGGAAAGTAATAAGTATATCATGAATATAACAATAAGTTTTATAGCGAATTTGTTGCGCATTGGTGCGCACTAAAAGCTGTCGTACAGAAAATGACGGAAAAGGCAGACGCATAATATACGAGCAATCGAACCAGCGAGATACTCGAGATTATAAATAAATTATCAATATAATATTCGACGGAATATGCTTTCGATCGGGGACGTACAATCAAGCGATATTGGGCGGTCCGTCGATTAAAGTACTTATATATTATGACACATTTGAAGTTTTGCTTATATTATGCTTCTGCACTTTTAGGTATCCTTGTAGACAACAATGTCCATTCTACGTACAACCGAAATTGCTATGAATAATTTACGGAGATCATAGAGACAACTTTATATTCTAGAGAGCTGCTGCAGTAAGTTGGAAGGCAAGATGGCTTCCAGCTTGTCCAGGATGTAGTAGAACGGATGGGAAAACCAGGCGAGCATCGAGCGGGCGACTACGCCCATCGTGTCTGGATACTGATGGGTGAGCAAGGCCAACAGCGCCGTGAAAGAACATAGGCCGGCTGTGAAGAGAATAAAGAAAGGAAGCTCTTTCTTCGGATACACACTCACGTCGTGGAACGACGGCAGTAGTTCCCGGTCGGCGCATTCCGTGCAGGTCGGATACGGGTAGAACAAGTGTCCGCGTTCCAACGGATAAGGCAGCATCCTGAAAGTGCCTTCCCACGTGCAGTGGAGCAGATTCAGGGCTCCCTCTATCTGCTTCCAGTGGGCCAGGTGGAAGAAAGCGTATGCGATCGCTTCGGAGTCGCCGCGCTTCAGCACATGCTCGGGCGGTAAAATGAGTGGCTTCATTTCCAGGAGGTACTTGGGTACATGCGGATTGAACTCCACCGCCCGATGAATCGCTTCCACCGCTGACATCTCGGCGGTAGTTAAACCTCGCTTGCTGGCGACGTCGGGCGAGAATTTGTCCGCTACCAGTCTCGCCTTCAACAACGCTGCTGTGTAGCAGATGGTCGCTGACTTCGGTAGACTGATGTCGTCGTACTTGGCCAACACCGCTTGCACGTCCGCATACGCCTGCATTTCCAGCAGGGTCTCTATCAGGTTTTCGTGGATATTCAATACATTCATGATCGGCGGCACCTCCTTCGTGAGGTCACGAAACATCTTCACCGCTTCCTTCAGTTTTCCCAGCTTCCGCGCACACATCGCTAGTCGTCTCTTGATATAGATCAATACGTTTGTGTCCCGTCTATGTATCGCCTCGGCAATGGAGCCTTGGTGCTGAGTATTCTGTGACTTCCTGTAATTGTTTTCGGCGACTTTCAGTGCTTGTTTTAAGATCTTCTCGGCCTCCACGATAGTAATGGCTTCTTCCTCTGCGAGAAGGATGTAAGCTGGTGCACAGTCAGGATTACGATCAAGAGCACTATGTGCAGCTTTTATCCTCACTACTGGATTACGTTCTCTCCAAGCTGTCTGCATAATTTCATATTCTGCTTTACCTGGAAAAGAAACTTATTTTAGAGGACTTACTTTCTTTCTTTCATCTATTCTTTTGTTTTACCAAATTATAGATTCATTCTTTTTTTACTGAACCAGTATAGAACTTGGAAAAAAAAAGACAGAATATAATTAAGACTTGGTGGAAGAAAGAGGAGAAGAGAACCAGTACAAGCTAGTTCAGCAAAAACATACAGACCTTGTGTCAAATATTTTTAAATTCTTCGCAATGATTATACGATGCGTGTAAATCTAAATAAATTCATCAAGGTACCAATGACAGAAATGTCATATCTCACCTGTGTCACCTTCGCAGGTAAAGAACGTCTGATGGTCCTGAGCTGACAGATTCATGTCATAATATGTCAAAGGCTCCTTGTTGGTAGCCCAGTAAAATCTCTGGTACTCCGCACCTCTGAACAGATTGATCGGATTGCGCCATACTTTGCACTCGGGCACGTTCTGCTGATTCGAAGAGCCGGAACCGTTCAGGCTGGAGTTGTTGCCGTCGTTGGTGCTGTCACCGCCGCCGATCCACGGCGAGATGTGGTTCAATGATACCTGCTCGATAAACGAAGTACCATACTTCCTGAAGTACCACCATTCGAAGATAAGAATTAGACCGGATATGAGGGACGAAGTGCCGGTGAGGGCGACATAAAACTTTGGGGTTAAGGTGCTCAGGAACATCGTTGAGTCCCACATGCTGGTGAATAGCAGTGCCATTTATGCTCCAGAGAACCGTCGCTCACACGCTCTCTCCGTTACGTTGCTTCGCAAATCTTCCTTCCTTAATATAGATACACCGCAACGGTCTACGCGAGAGTTCCGATAACAACAAAGCACCATGTAATCAATTTTCCCGCATCGCAGCCTCCTTCGCTGGCTGCTTCGAATCCGTCCCGAATGGACGTCACGGATTCGTTGTAACGCGCGAGCACCTGATTCAGCACGCGTACATCGCCACGCACTCCCGGCGCGTAGTAAATATTTTCGATGCGTTCATGGTATACAGGCAACGCTACGAAATGAAATCGATAGAGGAGAGGTTCTTAATTGATCCAGGAGAGCTGCGTTGATACGAAGATCGCGAACAGTACCGAGCGTCGATACAACAACTTTAAGTCATTAGGTTGACGACCGATGGCAGCATAATGATGTATCAAGTCGTATCGACAAACTTTCGTGTTCGCAGATATATCTGAGATTAGCATGTAATGCGTTGTTAATTTCACACGATTTATTATTATCCACATGTTTCAGACGTGTATAAACCACCTACGCCGTAATCATGTACTTTTGTGTGAAACTGCATATTCACAGTCACCGTGGCATAAAACTTTTGTACGTTGTAGATTTTTTAGCATTCCGTATATAATTCCGAGATGACAATGGAAATACGTGATGATTAACTTCTTTCTTTATAACACATCTTGCTCTCTTTAATACTTTAAATATTACAATCATCTCAAATATATTTTACGCACTGTGAGAGATGTAAAATTTTTAATAATAATTTTTAACAAGCATACGAAGCACAACCCCAGAGGACGTGTTGTCTCGAGCATCGATATTTCGAGAATCGCAACCACTTCGCAGCAGTCTTCAGTTCATTATGGAATGTTGCATGGCGTGATTTGCGCTCGAAGAACCGTTCCGTATTTCTCGCGATTTAGACTGGCCGCGAGTGAATTTCACGTTTGAATTATCGCCGGGAGTAGATTTCGTGCGTGTGTCGCGAGAAAGTATCTTTAAATAACCGCTGAGAGTGGACGTCTCGCGAAATGATCGGTTGGAAATGCCGACCATAATGTCGTACATTAACATTATGACAATTCCAAATTCGATTTGCTGTGCTTTACGTTCTCCACCCGCCGAAGAGGTCTCCAACGTGAATTATCGCCGTCGGGAGTGCCAAAAGTAAATTTTATACAATTATTGCGACATAAAATATATCGTTAGTCGCCGAAAGTCGGTATCCGACGGAACGAATCGAGAGTGTGAAATGAAGTGACGTGCGGATTGAGATAGTTGAAATATCTCAATCGTTGCGAGTTCAGTCAGTAACGAGATGGGTCGTGACGTACTCGGACGTAGTCGTCCCGTATCTCTCGCGAGATTCTCACCGTCCGAATTATCGCCGGTAGTGCCGAAATTAAGTTTCGCGCGTGTACAATCGATGAAGCATCGTTAAATAACCGCCGAGAGTGGACATCTGGCGTAACGGTCAGTTGCAAATACCGACCGAAAACGTCGCACGTTCGTTACATAAACTTGCCGTACTTTATGTTCCTGACTCACTGAAGAAATCTCCGCCGCCGAGAGTACGGCGAAAATAAGTCTTGCATCCTCATCGTAATAAATATCGGTAAATAACCGCCGAAAATCAATGTCGAGCAGAACGGGTAGATGATTGCGTTAAAAGTACCGAGTAAAATAAAGCACATCGAGATATAATATTCAGTGTATCTCAATCGTTGCGATTCAATCAGTTATAGGACAGATCATGATATACAGTGCATGTTCGAACAGTCGTCCTATACTTCTCACGATCTTGATTCGTCGAAAGTGAATCTCGCGCGTGCGAGTCATCATCGGAAATGCCGAAAGTAAGTTTCGAGCGTGTGTGTCGTGACGAAACATCAGATAGCGGCCGAAAATTTTACGGAATGGCTATTCCGGAGTGCCGTGCTAAATATCGTATAATGGCGGTTCGGAGTTATATTTTCGATCGAAGTCTCGCGCGCGAATTAGCCGAGAGTGCCAAAAATAAGTACGGCGCGTTTCTCGTGACAAAAATCGTTAAGCAGCAGCTGAAAATGAATATCCTGTAAAACGGTCATTCGGGAGTGTCAAATATTGCGCGTTTGTTAAGTGGCCGTTTGAATTCGAAATCTTCAAGATCACTGCGCTTCACGTCGCTGAATTGCTGAAGCAGATATATGTCGGAGAAGCATCGAAAGTAAGTGAAGAATATTAAGAATAAAGATTAGGTGTTGGTAGAATATGGAGAGATATAGTCAAATATTAAATAATTCTGAAATAAGTCCTACTTTAAGGATCAACATGGAGAAAACGGCAATAAAAGAAACATTTGTAATATCAACGTAGCTTGCACGATATCATATCTCGAGATTTTCTCTATTGGTCCTTCAAGTTTAACGGGATTTGCAAGATTAATATAGAACCAAAATTTCGACTTGAGTAAAACTAAAACTGAAGCAAGGCTAAAGCCTAGGTTAAAGCTAAAGAAGAGATTTTTCTCGCGTCATAATTACATACAATATCCATAGATAATTAGAATTAGTTGAAAATTTTTATTCTCCTGCTTTAATGTTTTCAGTCGAGAATATTAACATAAAATACATTTTGTATTATAGTGAAATCGACGGAGAAATTTATAACAGTATTGATTATTCGAATATAATAGCCAAAAGCAGAATAGATGAGAAAATCACATGTTTCAAAAAGTGACATTACTAAATAAAGAATCTGTATAACATAAATAATAATAACAAAACATCAGTATATCCCAGCAAACATAATGACATATTAATGACGTCAAATAGCGTATTAATGATGTTTCTGACGTCATTAATACATGTTGGCTGGGATTTCAATATGATGAATGTTATGGGATACTTTCCGTTGAATCTCATCTTAAAAGATATCTGTTATATTTTTACATTGTGCGTGGTTGGAAATATCGAAACTTGCTTGCGATGAGCGCGCGTTATGTAAGAGCAAGGAAGCAGATAACCGGAATAATAGAAGCGCACGGTGGACGGATAATGGGTCACTACGGACACGCTGATATCTTGCATGGCACCTTGAACGTCTCCGCGCGCTCGAAGGTCTTTCTTTCTGTCTTTCTTTCTTCCACCGTGTCGCGCTTCCCTCGTTCCAATAACCCACTTATCCGAGGTGTCTTCGAGATAGCCGTTTTGCCGTATATAGGGTGTGCCGTGCGCAGCTCGCAGTTTTAATTTCAGCGGCGGACTCTACATACACAACGAATTTTGAGTAGATTCCTTAGCGAAAAAGTCGAAACAATGATAATTTTCGAGATATATGCGACGGACAGAAAGAATTTGCTAGCGTAACAATTTGTACGCTGCCGCAACAAAATCTGCCAGTTATTATGTGGATAGCAAAACGATTTGTCAAAAATATTAATTGCCATTCGTTGAATTATTTTGTTGTAAGGACAAATTAGTAAATGTAAGAAAATACTATATATTTTGATAATTTTCTGTAAGAAAATTAACATGTCCTAAGGACAAATTCATTCACCAGGATTTTTCTATCTTGGCAACACAATTATTTCCAATTACGAATAATTCACTAATTTGATCATGCTAATCAAATTTTATCATTATTTTAATGAATATGCAGCGGTAGCATATGTATGTGTGTGTGTGCCACAATAGCAAAATTATTTTTCTCCGTGTGGCTAATTAAACTTCTGTGTATTATGTAAATAATAAGTAAGACTATATCATTCAATTTTTATATAAAGTGCATTTTTTAATGAAGAATTTCTGCGATGAATAGTGATGTCCTTCGGTATTTTATGAAGAAAAATTAATTGTAAAATATTTAAGGAAAGTGTCATGAAAGTTAAAGTTGCGTGAGATACCATATATAGTACTTTGCCTCGTGACGTATATACAAACAGGCATTTCTAAATAAAATGTAGCAGCTTGATTTCTTTAGCTCATCGCATCACCGGGAATTTCTCATGGGAAAACGATAACGCCGATGCTCGCATCTGACGTTACGCGCTCACTATTACTCGGGATTATTCTGAATTTATGAAAATCTTCAGAAGGCCGGTGGGACCGGAGTATACCGTGATCAATCGCTTCGAATCTCGCGCAGGCTGCTTTTTTTATGGTAAATTGGGCACCGGGATTTCTTACTTCGAATATTTATCGTAATGCTTAAATATAGACGATTGATTCATCCCGTAAATATCCTGTACGGAGAGAGAGAGAGAGAGAGAGAGAGCTACTTTTGAAGTATGCTATAATAGAACTTCGCTCAGCCGTACGATAGGGTGAGAAAGGTGGATCGGATAAGCCGAATATTCTCAAACGGGGCGCGATCGTAAATTGTGATAAATGGCGAGAACGAAATAAAATAATTTCCAAGGGAAATATTTATAAGTGAAGGTAGATGAACTCAAAACTCTTTATCTCCAACTCAACGTCATTTTTCAACCATTTTTCTGTCACTTGACATTTGTTAAGCTTCCCATCTTCAATCTTAGTTGACTATGCAGAATAAAGTATTGACATATTCAGTAACTCGTTCGTGCCGAAACGTCATTTACTGCGAGATTTGAGATGTAAAAGAAGTGCGAGCGCATTTAAATACCTATAATTTTGGAGTTCGGGACATTTTTCTACTTCCTTCATCTTCGAATGACATTTTCCCGCGCACTGTCGATGAAAAAACGATTTCCACAGACGATCGTCGCCATCACGCACATCGTCAAAGGAAAGTAAGGAAAGTCTGAGTCGGTCGTGCTGCCATCATTCGCTCCGTTTATCCCCGAGAACGAGACACAATACTCGAAAGGAGGTGTCGGGGTGAAACAGGGAAGGAAATCGCGCAATTTATTCAGGGAAGGGTCGCGTCGAAGAAGAACAGAATAGCGACGTACACCGGAGGGAAGGTGTCGCGACTCTACATACAATAAGTATATGAAAAATGGTCATATTTTAATTGAACAAATCGAAGAGAGTAAACGAGTGGTCAAGGCCAACATTCTTGGGCACGGCGCGTGATCGTGAACGGTGACGAATATAAAAAAATAATATTCGGGGGGAATATTTATGACTGAAGGATGAGATAAAATTCTCTTCATTCAAGTTCGTCGCCATCCTTCTCCTCTTCTTCTCTCCGGCGCGGTGCAGTCGATCGGTCGGTCGGTCGGTCACTGAACCGCCGCCTCGTAACGCCGCCGTCCCAACCGGCCGCCGCGTGATCGAGCCGGTACCGTTAGGAGGTCTCGCCGCGATCCACCTGGAAGCAGACGATGTGGAAAAACGAACCGGAACCGCGCCAACCCTGAGGATCC